GCAGCCATTTGGGGAGTGAACCAGGTAGGGGGGAAAAAGGTCCTTGCTCTCCTGGGGTAGGCAGGCAAGCCAGCGAGTAGAGGAGAGGGACCACCAATAGGATGGTGGATTCCACGCAGAGGCAGAGCACAGCCAGGCGGTTCACAGGAAGGCGGACTGTGGGAAGCGCCAGAGGAAGGCCTCCCATCGGTGAGAGCTGAAGGGAAACCTCAGGGGAAACCAGGAGGAGGTGTGGGAGGACTCCCCTACACAATTACCCTGCGGCTGGTGGGCGGAGCAGGCAGTGTGGCTCCACTGGGGTGGGCCCCTCTCCCAGGACCAACTCCCCCGACCTGTGACACCCCAGCCCTCAGCCTCAGATCCCCTCTCTAACCCCAATCCTCTCTTTCTCCTCAGTATCTCAAAGACCCATACCCCACCCCACGCATCTGCCTTTTCGCTTCCTGCAACTTTCTGTCTCTACCGCCCGAGGAAGGCCCACGTCTCCCTACCACCCCCTGCCACGCCCCAGGCCCTGGACCTGCAGGCTGGTCTGCATCGTCGGAGGCATCCGCAGGCAGGCGTTCTGCCAGGAAGAGCAGCAGGTCCCGGAGGTCAGGTTCACTGGGGTATAGGAAGTTCTGATAGCCAAGCTCCAAGGGATAGCCCAGGTCCTGGCGGTGATCAGGTGTGAAATCAGGTGACTAGGCCTCAGCTTGGCAGCCAGGGCCCTCCTGCCCTGGGAGCCCTGGGTTCAGGCTACAAACTTCCCACTGTCTCATCACCATCCACCACCCTCCAAGCCTCCGTCTGGCTCCTCATGGCCTCCAGCCCCCACCCCCACCCCCACCCCCCCAGAGCCACCGCTGAGGGACTAGTCAATGCTGCAGAGAGTAAGAAGTAAGATTGAAGTTCGGGCCTTTCGAAGTGTGACTCAAAATCCAGAGGGAACACTAAAAAGAGAAGGTTGAGTATTTCCGCATGCTTAAAAAGAAACTAAAACACCAAAGGAAAAATGCAATTAGCAATGCCAAGTTGGGAATTGTTGGAGTCCATATCATAGGCAGAGAATCAACGTATTATACAGAATGCCTAAAAAAAATAAACAGGGAAAAATAAAAGACCGGCAACACAAGAGCTCAGAATGAAAGGACTCCTAGGCCTGTGTCGTGGTCCAGTGAGCTAAGCTGTAGCTTGCGACACCAGCATCCCACATTGGGGTTCCGGTTCAAGTCCCGGCTGCTCCGCTTCTGCTCCAGCTCTCTGCTATGGCCTGGGAAAGCAGTGGAAGATGGCCTGGGTGCTTGGGCCCCTGTACCCACTTCGGAGACCCGGATGAAGTTCCTGACTCCTGGCGTCAGCCTGGCCCAACTTCGGCCATGGTACCCATTTTGGGGAGTGATCCAACAGATGGAAGACCTCTTTCTTTCTCTGTCTCTTCCTCTGCCACTCTGCCTTTCAAATAAATAAATCTGTAAAAAGGTGGGTGACAAGGCTGCTGAGAGTTCTGGTAGGGTCTGGGAAACAGGCCTGGAGAGATACAACTTTTTGGGGCCAGTGCTGTGGCACAGCAGATAAAGCCCACCTGCAGTGCCAGCATCCCAAATGGGCGCTGGTTTGAGTCTCAGCTGCTCCACTTCCCATCCAGCTCCCTGCTAATGCTCCTGGAAAGGCAGTGGAGGTCAGCCCAAGTCCTTGGGGCCCCTGCACCCACATGGGAGACCAGAAAGAAGCTCCTGGCTCCTGGCTTCAGATCAGTCCAGCCAGAGGCCTTGTGGCCATTTGGGGAGTGAACCAGCAGATGGAAGACCTCTTTCTCTGTCTCTTTTTCTCTCTCAAAATCCACCTTGCAAATAAATAAAATAAATCTTTGCAAGGAGGAAAGATAGGCTTTTTCTCCTGGACTTGCTGCTTATTTGGAGCAGTGGACTGAAAACAGACCTCCTAGATTCAAACCCAAGCTTTGCCTCCTACCCTCGTAAGCCCTCTGCACCTCACTGTCTTCCTGTGCAGGAAGTGATGGTACCCACCTCAGCAGCTTGTCATGAGGACTCCCTGAGGTTGCACCCTATTGCCCACAGTACCTGGCACACACTCAAAAGCCATCATGACTACATACTTGCCTATGTACGGGCCACACTACAAGATACACGTATTTCTGAGGGTCACGGTCAAAAAAAATGTGTGAAAACCACCAGCTTTTAAGCTACTTTGGGTTTTTTCCAACATCTCTGATCAAAGGCTTGTGACTGATACAGAAACACATTCCAGGAGTGGGTGTGCACAGTGATAGACACGGAAGCATGGAGGTGGCCGAGGCTCAGCAACGGGTAGCAGGGGCAGAGCACGGCACCAAGCCAGCAGAATGCAGCAATGCTGAGCTCAGCGGGGCTCCGGGCATGGCACCCACGGCGTTAGAGACCCTTCCTGCCTGCTGCTGGCGCCAGGCAGCCACATGGACCTCGGGACCACTGAAACAGCCATGTTCTCTGCCCCTTACACTAAAGTCAATGGAAGCCAAAGCTGATGAACACAAAACACAGCACTGAGAGGACAGAGAACTGGGGGATGCCTGACCCCACCACCACCACCACCTCAGAGCCTCCCACCGTGTGCTCTCCCTGCACGAAGGAGGAAGCAACATCACCCCTATAGAGTGTCACTCTTGGAGCGAGCGTTGTGGTGCAGCAAGTTAAGTCGCCACGTGGGAGGCCCATATTCCATATAGGAGCACTGGTTCCAATCCAGGCTCCTCCGCTTTCAATCCAGCGTCCTGCTGACACATCCTGGGAGGCAGGGGGTGATGGCTCAAGCACTTGGGTCCCTGCCACCCATCCACATGGGAGACCCGGATGCAGCTGCAGGCTCCTGACTTCGGCCTGGCCCAGCACGGGCCTTTGCAGCCATTTGGGGAGTGAACCAACAGATGGAAGATCATTCTCTCT